CTACCCTGGGTCCGTATAAATGCTATGTTACTATACCTCTTACACACATACAAGTTCAAAGCACGAACGAGACTTCAAAGCTGTGGTTTGCTGTGCATGTGTGGCTCGAGAAAGATATACGTAAACTCTGGGAGGTGATGCTTTGATGCTTTTGGAGCGGGTGGTGACGCACTCGCCAACTAGAACATATACCCTTCAATAGGAACTCGAACAGCTCAAATCCAGAAGATTCTGAAAATGGCCTGGCTTCCTATATGAACCCTGGGAAGACTGGGAAGCGAAGAGGTGGAAACAGCTGGGAGGTCTTGAGCTTTTAAGTAAACAAAAGGCCACATTCAAGCAGCAGAAGGACAATGTGCATCCTTTGCTCTCGCTTCGCAGACCTTCATTATTAAGGTGGCCTGAACAGAGTGTTTTAGGGCAGCAAACCCTGGTCTCAGGCCACCTTGAATTTAGCTTGAAAACCACAGCTTTGAAGCCTCATGCGCGCGATACCTGGGAACAGAATTGTAGCTACCCTGGGTCCGTATAAATGCTATGTTACTATACCTCTTACACACCTATACAAGTTCAAAGCACGAACGAGACTTCAAAGCTGTGGTTTGCTGTGCATGTGTGGCTCGAGAAAGATATACGTAAACTCTGGGAGGTGATGCTTTGATGCTTTTGGAGCGGGTGGTGACGCACTCGCCAACTAGAACATATACCCTTCAATAGGAACTCGAACAGCTCAAATCCAGAAGATTCTGAAAATGGCCTGGCTCCCTATGTGAACCCTGGGAAGACTGGGAAGCGAAGAGGTGGAAACAGCTGGGAGGTCTTGAACTTTTAAGTAAACAAAAGGCCACATTCAAGCAGCAGAAGGACAATGTGCATCCTTTGCTCTCGCTTCGCAGACCTTCATTTTTAAGGTGGCCTGAACAGAGTGTTTTAGGGCAGCAAACCCTGGTCTCAGGCCACCTTGAATTTAGCTTGAAAAACTGTTTTAACAAAAGCCTTGTCACAGAGACACCTCAGGACCCTTGCTTCGCATATCTTCATTTTTCAGGTGGCCTGAACATATAGTTTCGGGCAGCGAGCCTCTGGTCCCAGGCCGCCTCGAATTTTGGTGCATTGTTTGGCTTTTGCTTCATCTGAATGTGGATGGGAATTATCTATGTGTGAACAGAATGTTTTTTTTCAAACGAAATTCAAGGTGGCCTGGGGCCAGGCGTTTGCTGCCCTAAAACCATTGTTCAGGCCACCTCAAAAATGGAAGCGCTGGCTTTCGTTTTGCAGCTTCTCAGGTTCCGAGTTTCGGACGATTCCAAAAAGCAAAAAATATCTAATTGAACTTGGTCTTGGTCAATGCATGAAACTTCACTCAACAATGGTCTTTTACTCAGTTTGCATGCACGAACTCCGGATTACCAGTGACACCAGCATGGAGGTTAGAGACACGGTCATACCGTATGGCACCCACCGGGGGTTTTCTCCACTAGTTTATGTAGGTAGCACCACGGTTCCAAACCGATTTTTCAAATTTGCATGTTCTGTTTCTGTTTCTAGGTCCTTGGTGTCAGACTATTGTGTATTTTTCGTGCAGTAAATGTTATTTGGGAGGTCTCACCAAAGGTGGGGGCAGACTTATCATTTTGCCATCCGCCTTCACTCATCTTCATCTACTGAAAGTACTGATTGTCCATGTTTTTTTGGAAGGGGGGTCAGGCTCCAATCCAGAGATGCAGAGATGGTGATAATTGTTCATATTTGTCCTTGGCTGTCATAGACTTCCATAATTTCACTGACTGGAAAGTGCAAGACTGTCAAAGACTGATGTCATGAGTGGATTCTGCTGTTAATATATATATATATATAGGTGTTATCCTCTTTGGAGTAGATTCGATCAACCAACGGGACCATCTTTTCTACGCTTTGGAGCTTCTTCGGCCGATGTTTTCATCACAAAAAATCATGGCATTCCAACGATTTGTCGTTTGGATGATGACGTGAGATCGGTCATCGAATCTTCATGTCACGGATGATTTGAATTGGATGAGTCTTCTTCAGGGTTTTATACAAGCATCCAAAAAAGACAACAAAAGAGGACCTTAGGTAAGGAAAACTCAGCAGGTCTGCAGGATAAGTATATCTCCTAAATTCTACCATCTACAGGGCATATGGTTGGATCAACATTCTTCCTTTTGTTGGTGCCAACATCGCCTCGCCTTGCACCGCTGCCAATATCGGCCCAGTGGGCGCGTGTCACCTTCACGCGAAGACATGGGGCGACGGTGACGCTCCATGCGCCCCGCGAAATGGAAGACCGTCGTCCTCGCTACCGTAGCTGTTTTCGTCCACGGCGAGCGTGAGGAGCTTCCAGGCGCTCATGCAGGGCGGATGCTCCAAGGGAGAAGGAGCAGGAACTGTGAGGTTTTTTCAGCACGAGCTGGTGCGCTGTGCGCTGTGCACCATGTGGTCTGCACGGTGCTGCAGACCAGACAGATGGGTTGGTGACCACCTGTTTGGATGGTGACCATCCCGATTTGCCCCAAAAAGGCTGAGTGAAAGGTCCCCAAAGCACTCGCGGCAGCGCTTAGCCGGGCCTTTCACCACGTGGGCGTTCACCAGACTGGCGACCTCGTGGGAGACCGACAGGATCTGGGTGTGTTTTGCACAGCGAGTGCAGCAAAAAGAACACCACGCTCACCACGGCTGAAAGGAAGACGGCAAGTTTCATTCAAAGTCCGTGATCCATCAAGACGTGCCCTGTGCATGAAACCACCCCCAACTCCCCCAACCCCACTGACGCCCAAACCCCGCCGATGTCGATCCAGGCGCCGATGTGCAGCTTCTTCAGCTCTCCCTCACGACCGACCTCATGCAGCACACGCCGAGTCATGTGAGTCCGGACGCCATGCGTCCGGGGCTGGTACGGTTCATGCACATCCCCAAGACGGGGGGCACTAGCATCGACGCTGCAGGGATGCACCAAGCCATTCCAGTGCCTCGGCTTCTGAGGCTAAGGTGGATGGATGTTGGATGGAGCGCGGTGTTTTGCTGGTTGCGAGATGTGGAGTGTATGGATCATGCAAAAGTCATGCTTTGAAAAGATGCCGATCATGCAGCACAATGATGTAGCATCCTTGGAATCTTCCCGCACGGTCATCGTTTGTGCTCCAGCCCCAAGAATCTCAATCAGGGAACACCGTTTTTTCTGCAAAAAAATCGCTGAAAGGATAGCTGAACACGTTTTAGAGCTTTGGGCCCGTGGGGCGTGGGATGACCACCCTTGTTCTGACACCCCCTCTGCCCACCAGCACAACCTTGATGGGCAAGTGATCAAACAGATTCAACATGATACGTTTGCCTTTGAGAGAGGCATATACACCAGAGTTTGTTCCATTCTTTTTCCATATCTCTCTTCAGCTTTCACCTCGGAACCTCGGAACCTCTGAAATCACTCCACTCACGGACCTGCCCCCAACCTCTCCCTTTTCTCACGGAAAAGCAAGGCCTTTGACTCGCTGATGCGACAGACCTACGAGCGCATCGCACAGAAATCCGATTACCGCGACCCGGCGGGACGAGCGAAACTCGCCTTGCCTTCGCCTCGGCGGGCCGCGCATCCGAGACGGGTTTTTCAAGCGAAGACCCAGACACGACTCATGGGACTGGTGGGGTTGAAAGGGGTCCATGTATTCCATACCTGGATTGCGGTATGGAAAAGCTATGTAAACCCTGGATTTGATGGGGACAGGTCCCTTTGCGATGGGCATCGAACACACGGCTGAACACAGGTCGCCACCTGTTAGTTCGTCCATCGTGGGCGCCTGAGTTTGGGAGTTTGGGATCCAGTTTCAAACAATAGCCTGATAGGCTAGGCTGAAGCTAGTATACGCAGAGACGTTCTTACGCAGAGGCGCCACCTGACACGAACGCGCCCTCGGCCTAGTTTGGTTTTAAAAATTCATGGCAATTTCATGGCAACAAAAACGTCTGGACAAAAGAATCAAAAAGATCGTAGAATTCCATCGTCTCTCTCATGGTCCACCTCTTGAGCGCTATCGCTCTGAACCATTGCCGTTTGCATTTTCTGCATCACCAATCCACTAATAGTAGCCTTGCCGGTCTTGACCCTCGAGGCTGCTCTTCATGAAACGAGCACCATGTTCTACCTAAAATGTGGTCGTGGCCCACAGATTTGATCAGTCAGTCGTTGATGTCTTTTTGGTGGACGCTTAAAGCATTGCTTCTTCGACCAGAAACCATCCAAATTCATGCAGGGCCCGGCGGGCCCGGCGACTTTTCGACGGGGCCAACCGGCTCCAGTCGCGCCAATCTGAGGAGGGGGCCCATTGGATCCCCAAAGGCTGTTGGGGCACTGGAGACACCAGTGGACGGCATTTTGGGGGAGTCCAGACTTGCTTCGTCCCGGGCGTTCGATGTGCAGTTCCCACACTCTGCCACAATGTGTCTTATGTTCCGCTCTATCGCCTTTCGATTGCCTGGTCCTAACAGTCTTTGCGACGATGTTTTTGTCTCACGCGATGCTGGTTGATTAATCCGCCGTCCTCGCGTCTTCACTGAGATGGTGATTTGGGCGACCTCTACGTGAGCTCGCACAGCTCTTACCTCACTTATTCCGCAGCTTTGGTGTTGGAAACCGGTGAAATCGGATGGGTTTGGATGCAGAAGAACCTCGAGGGGATTTCCACCGAAAGAGACGTCCATGTTGACTTTATAGGATCCAGTTAACCCTCCATCCTTCCACCGGGCGAATGGAGGTCGTTTTGATGGGTTTTGGATGGCTGACTTGGTTTGGGAGAATGATGGCAGGATCCGGATGATCCAGGTCTCCAGATGATCCAGGTCTCCGGATGGTCCGCTCGGGTCCGCTCCGCTTCGATCCTCGATGAAGCGAATGGATTCACCGAGCAAGCCGATTCCAACAGAGTCTATAGATGTCTATACCAGCAGTCACAAAGGGGTGGTGTTTAGTCCCCAAGTGAGTGGATGTTCTGGGCACCCCCCCTAACCTCTATTAGGGTTCAAACCAACCTTTGTTGCCTTGTTTTTGGCATTGGTGAGTCTGGACTCGTTTGGGGTGGATCCTGTTTCGAGTTGCACCCCCGTGGGCCCATCTCTTTCATCTGCGCACAGTGTGTATTTATTTTCAGCTTGGCCACGCAAAAAGTGAGGCCTTTATCGCGCAGAACGTCCAGGAATACCACTTCCTGCCGCCCAATGCTTCCGACCAATGTGAGGATTTGTCGCTTGGATTCGGACGTTCGGACTCGTCGTGTCAGATCTTCTCATGTGCGAGGCGATGACCACCGAACCAACCGAATTGGGAGAAGCGAAAACCAGGGAGATGAAGCTTCTCTGCTTTCGTTCTTCATCAGGCAGCTATCTTTACAACCTAGAGATGTCAGAGGGGGTATAGAACGAACGAGGTGTGTTTCTCGCTTTCTCTCACCGTCGTTCTTCGTTTTTTTTGCCCGGCTCCCGACTCGATCTGCCCGGCCACGTCGATTTGGGAGAAGCAAAGATCGAAGGGTCTCCACTGCGAGACACCTCTCCCGTACGACAACTTCAGATCACCCCAGAAGCAAAAAAGCAAAGCAGACAAGGGCCCATGAATACATACACAGCCACCAAGCTTTCTTCCTGAAGTCTGAATGCCATGGTCCAGGACCTCTATTTTTGTTTTCAGGAGACGAAGACTTCCGAAGAACAACTGGACACCCTGAGTTGACCCAGCCGGAGGCCAATTCTTTTTGGTTTTCGGATCTCTAACCACCCATCAAATATCGCCGGAGAAATGGTCGGTCAGCAGAGGGGTGACGGACAGCACGAGAACCGCAGAACCGAGGGACATGGAGTAGGTTAAGTAGGTTACTAGGTGCATCTAGGTGCCTTAGAACCTGAACATTTTTTGGATCACCAACCACCCCAAATAGGCTCTTTTCCTGTATCAAAGCAGGGGTCATGGCTGTGTTCTACGTGACTTGACCTCCTAGAGGCTTGTATGCGACGAGGTGGATGGCCTAGCCGGCCTAGCACTGCTCAGCAGCTATTCCCCCAAGCGCTGTGTCTGCTGGATAGTACCCACCACAACAACCCTCCGACCTCCGACATAAGGATTGGACACCATCTATGGTGCCGATGGTTTGGGTCGGCCCATTTTCCGGTTCCAGAATGGCTTCAGAGCTTCCGGTCCATCTCTCCGGAGGCTATCTCATCTCCCAACCAACATCCCTTCATCCAGGTCCCGGACCTTCGCGATCCACCCAGGTCCCGATCCTTTGGACCGTCCGCCTCCCCCCCCCCCAAAAACCCAGCGGTGGAAGACCCGAAGTCCGGATCCAAATCGATTGCGGAAGGGGCTCACCGACCCGATCCAACGGTGCGCCGAAGTGCTTGATTGACTCCTTCCTCTCCTCGGGTGGTTTTGGTCGAATGGGCAGACTCAGAGGTCGGTCCAAGAGAGATGAACGCAGAGTGTTCGGCGTGTTTGGTTTGGACCTTGCAGTATTAGGGGAGAACATGTAGGGATCCCAACAGTTGTGTTGCTCGAGTGGTTCTTGGTGTTGATCGAACGAGTCCACGAGCTCCGAAGGGGCATTTCCACATCCTGCGGAACTTTTTGAGTGAACAGTAGTACGAAGTGAGCTCCGAGGCACACGCCTCCTTCGCGAAGTGAGTGACTTGGAACTCAGAAGTTTTTGTCAACTCGGTTTGGAGTTTCCGGGTGGGGTGGTGAATGGAGGATACAGGGCGGTGCCCCACCCCATGGAGGAAACCCACGGGCGCCACGGATCCATGATCTGAAACGACTGGAGAGAGGTCCCCAAATGGATGATACCGATAACGGTGTTTGTTCTATATCTTCTATGCTTGAAGGGGAATCACAGTTGTATCTCGAGGGCAATACAGACTCTTGAACCCTATGTGCGCCTATGATCTTAAATTGAATCTTGAACTACCAGGTTACCAACCAACCAAATTTTGGCCTTTAAGCTTTAAATATACAATATCAACAAGAGACCCCAAACAGGAACAAATGAGAGAACACGCCTCAGAGCAGAAACATGAGAAGAGCCGAAACCGTGGAACAAAGAAAGAATGTTTTTCGAGCTCACGCAGAGGAGCTTGATGAAGGATTTGCGCGCTTCTTCTTTCCACCCGTGGACCCGCCGGGAGGTTCATCCGCGAGTACTACCGGACGAACCTCACCTTTTGCGCCGTGCGCGACCCCCTGGAGCGTTTCTGGAGCGCCTTCCGCATGATGAGTTTGTCCGCTTGTGAGCCAGAGGCGAGGACCGACTGCCGGTGGGGAGAAGGTGAGAAGGGGGTGTGGATTGGAATAGAAGGGGGGGCTCCTAAGAATTGGTGGCAAAAAAAGAAGAAAAGAACATCAAACAACAACAAACGACTCTACAAACCGGTGAATCATGGTGAATCCATATCGAAAGAAAGCTTTCTTAGCTCCAAGAACTAGAGAGGTGGGGACCCCAAAAATCGAGGTGTGCGAGCGAATCCATCAAGGTGTACACCCACCATCGAGGTCTCTAGTGGTGAATTGCAGCACGGGGACGTGGGAACCGCCAAGCCTTTTCAGACCATCCAAGTTACGGTGAAAAGACTCGGTCGTCCTGGATCGGGCCTGGTTCTCGCACAAAGACTGTCAGGATTTCAGTGCTGGGCTTCCAGGATTGACAGTTATTCTTTTGAACCTTAAGAAACATGGGCTGATCCTGGAGCCACTTTTCTCCCGGTCTTTGTTTTCCACATCGTTTGTGTCATAGTTCTTCGCACATGTTTCTTTCTGCGTCTGATGTAGGTGAGTCGACTCAAGAGATTTCCAAAAAGGCTAGCTCTTCGCGGCCCTTTCAACGCACCGTGCACACACCCGTGCAACGCCGACTTCGAGGCCATCGAAGCGGCGACTCTGGGGCTGTTGGCGACGGCCACGGTCACTGGGAACGGCAGACGGTCTTCGATGTTGGGCCTTTGTTCTCCATCGTTCGCATGGAAGACCGACCCTAATAAACCCTATAACCACCATAAACCCTAATAAACGCCACTGAAAACCGACCCTTTCCCAGTGAGAATGGGTGGACGGCGATGGAACGCGAGCCTCTTGTTTCTTCGTGGTGGACCCGCCACCCTCGTTCCTGGCGACCGAGCGCCTCGTTCGCGGGAAAGGACCGACCCTTGAACCATGGCGCCTGGCGAACGGAAGGACACCCCGAACCGAATGAAGCGAGGCGGAAGGCTGCCACACCTCGAGTTCGGAGGTCCTGGTATGGAGATCAATATACAAATTCCTCCCCCCCCCCCCCCCCCGTCCCGCGTGACTCGAACCCACCGGTCACGCATCGCGGTACCGTGCTCCCCGCGCTTGCTCCGCGCTTGCGGATTTGGTCTCGCGGCGTGGATCCAGGTGACGCCGTACATCTGCAATTGCTTTCTGGTGCCTCAGATGGAGAGTGTGTATGGTACACGACACCTGGCCGCGAGACGGAGGGAGCGGAGGAGCGGAGGAGAGACGAGACGTGCCACAGCGTTCCGACTCGGGGAGACGACGACGACGAGTCGGATCGCGGAATGAGGAAATGAGGCCTGTTCAAGGGTGTTCGTTGGGGGCGACATCGGGCATGCGGCATGTCTGACCATGATGGGGGGAACAAGACTAATTGTAATCATGCGGATGTCAAGTGAGTCCAGTCTTCTCTTTTCTTCTTGCTGTTATTTTTTTAAGCACTGGGGGGGTTGGCTGTTCCGCTAGAAAGCCAGGTCCTGCATGTTGCACTGCTGCGGACCTGTCGAAGCACTGAAAGGGGGTGCATTGGCCACCTGCTCCAACTCAGCACAACAGATACCTTTGGGCTTGTACACTCCCTGAAATAATTCATGGTTACGTGGAGAACGCATCGCCCCCGAGTTCGGATGACCATTCCATTCTCCTCTACAAACAGACGGACAGTTCCATGATCGTCTATATACATCTAAAGAATGCGATCTGAATCTCTGAAGGCAGATCAAGAGCTGCCAATTCTTTTTTTTTACATGTTTAAACAATTTAAATGTATGTCAGTATATCGATTGTTTCACGGAGTGTAGAGGAATGGAATAGACGACGCCCAATCTTGGAGGGTCTGCCGATGAGGGTTGATGAGGGTCGCTGGCCTGCTGTCACGACCCAGAGGAGGTAACACAGAGGTGAACACATCTTCTTTTGGTGTTCCCAATCTGAATCGAGGCGCTGTGATTGGAGTTTTCTCTCTTTACGCATCTACTCTCAGTATATATAGTTCAAGCAGTAGATATGTAAGAAGCAATCACCTGTATAATAGTGCTTTGTCGTGGCTTTTCGATGTTTAAGAAGAGTCGAAGCAGTCGAAGCTTTTCCTAACAAAGTTTCCCCACCTGGTTTGTTCGGCATTGCACCGGCCTAGGCAACTGGTCGACTTCCTCCACGCGCTATTGCCAGCGTGTCTCGGATGGAGCTCTGAGGGGCGACTCATGGGGATTGTGCATGTTGCATGAAATTGGCCTTTTGCGTGATGGCGATTGTGGCAAGTGGGGCAAACATCGAGAGTCCTCCATCAAAATGTCCGACTTGATTAGGCCTTTTGAAAAAAAAGGAAGGTTCGACAGGACATGGACGACATCCTGTAAGAAACCTTGCATCATGATATTGATGGCTGAACATGTTAATTTATCATATCTTCTAGAATAGTGAGACTCTTGCTCAACAGTGGGGTCATTTAGACGGGTGTTAGAATAGAGAGCCCCCCCACAGACCTCCTGGTAAACAAATCGCCACCCGATATCTTCATGCAAAGCAAAAAGAACATGTTTATCCCTTTCTATATCGATCTTTGAAGATGGTGCAATGGTGGTTGATGCCATTGAAAAGATCAAACCTGAGACAGGATGTTCAGCACCAGATCAGGGTTGCTCTTGGCATCGCTGTTTTGTTCAGAGGCGACCACTTGGAATGTGAGGGTCCCAACACACGAGGTGAGGTGAACACTTGGTGACACGAGGTGGGAAAACCCGCGTGTTGCGGTCCAGTTATACCCACAATAGGTATACCGGATACCCCTCCCTCAGACAATGGAAGCTGAGCAGATTCCCTCTGGAATGGAAGGAGGAGGACCATGTCCTTTTTGAGGGGGCCGAACTGTTGCACTTCTAGGATTCTTTCAGGGACTGGACATGACTGGACTGTAGCATTTTGCTTTTTTAGACCTGGACTTGAGTGGCATGAGTGGCGCCCATCCAAACCCGCCTTTGCCATGAGAGTGCCATCCGTGCCCCGAGCTGCGCTGGCGCAGTCGCTATCGAGTCCACCGGACCCATGAAAGGCCCATGCCCACCCACTGGAGCCCATGGAAGAGAGGGCTGAGCGCCGAGCCGAATCCAGGCTCTCAAAAACAAAACGGCTTTTGCTTCGGGTACCGACCGGTGAAGATGTCGGGTCCAAGGACTTCGGGCGAAGCGCATTATAAGAATCTCATGCCGAGTCGAAGCGAACCAAAACACATTTGACATGTAAAAAAATGCATTGTGAATCACCAAAACACACAAAGAGAAGAAAAAGGACACGCAAGGAAAACCCCACGCGTCGCAACGTCACCAGATCCAGATCTGACGAAAGCACGAAAGGCCGCATCGTCTGAAAGCTGCCGAACCGCTGCCGACCCTTCGTGAAGTCTTGGACCGGACTTCGTGCCCGAGGTTTGCTGTACCAGGAGAACCTCACCGCGGAATTCGAGGCATTCATGGAGGAGATTGGCCGCCCTGAGGTCCGCAGGAAACGCGTCCCAGAACCGGATCGGCGCCGAGGGGGGGCACTTCGTGGTTCGAAGAGAGGGGCACGAAAAGAGAGCACTCAAGAGAGGAGCTTTCTGGGCTGTGTTCCACTTCCATGTCATGGGATTCTGTTTCTATATTGTATATCTTCATTTTTTTAAAGGGAAAAGCACCAGTTGCTTTCACGCGATGCACCTGTTGCTTTCACTCGTGACAACGAAAGGCCCGGAAGAGAAGAGAAGAGAAGAGAAGACCAAGTCGACGAACTTCTGGGTTCGTCCAGTGGGTGTCCTGGCTGGGCTACCACCCGCACTTCTGCTTTCGAACGTTGTCAACGATCCGCTGGGCGGAACCCCCCAAAAAGGGTCCCGTTCTCAGCCCCCACCGCGGCCGCAGGTGAAGCTTCCGCACGAGGACCGGAGGGTGTTCGCCTTTGGGGATCGTCCCGGTGTTTTTTCGGTCCTTTTTTTCTGGTTTCAACAATCGTCCGAATCGTGGGTTTGGAAAGGGCAAGGGTTCGCCATCTTCGAAGGGTTTACCCATGCGATGCCATGCGTCACGTACATGTAACCTGGCGAAACGAATTTAGACCTGCAAGAGAGATACAGATGTGGTTGAAAGACGAGGGCCAAACCTTATAGACCATAGCCTTGGAGTAAAGACCAGGCGGCCAGAGCCGGGGAAGGAAGCCCATCCGCAAAAGCCCCAGTTCGAGCATCTCGAACTTCAATCTTGCTATACTTCCTCTATCTTCCACTGATCTGATGTCTCAACTTCTAGCTACCATCTGTTTCACCCACATGTGCAATCTCATGAAGTAAGGTACTGAGATGAAGATCGATTCTCAGCCGGAAAAGGAAGAACCCTTTCTTTTTGGTCCTACAAAAGTGATCGCCCACTGTGGACGGATGGAGACCCGATCGATTTCTCAATCACTTCCAATCCGAGAAATCGGATCACGAAGCAGATCACGATTCTTTTCGACACAGGGGGGAAGGTGATGTTCGATTCTATTGCCGGTTCATGTGGCTGTGGAGCTGTGTTTTTTTCCCCTTGGTTTTTTTGGCACTTTTGGGGGCCAAAAACCCGACCTGCGACCGTCCACAGGGCTCCACGCCATCTCACGGGATCCACGCCGGGTCGACCGCTCGCACGCGTCGTCGACGAGGAGCTCATGGCGGATTGGTCCAGTTGTGACCTGAAGACCGGGCAGCTGACGCCCAAGACCCGCCAAGCGGCCGCGAGCTCAGGTGGAAGAGAGCTCAAGCGGCCTCGGCCGCTTTTTGTCTTTCTTTTACGGAGACTGACTTGGGGAGAGGAGAGGAGAGGAGAGGAGAGGAGAGCTTCTTTTGTTGCGGTTGGTTGGAAGTTGTTGTTGAGGACTCTTTTCTGGTGAGGACTCTTTCCAATGATGAGGGAAGCATCCTATGACCCAAATTGTCCCAAGTGAGCAATCATTTAATCATTTGTGTGAAACAAGTGGTCGATCCCGGTGGAGCATGAGACATTTGGAGCGAACTCAACATGAACAACAAGTCTGTTCTGGCTCCACACATACTAGGGGGGTAGAGAAAACCGAATGCCTAGCTTGCGGAGCAAAAGGCTGCCTTTTTCCTCGGCACACGTCTCAGGTGTATGAGTTCTACAAAGCCGACTATGAAGCCTTCGGTTATGCTCCGCCAAGCTTCTGAGAGTTAGTGGAATTTGGGCTCCGGCAGCGAAATGAGTGTGTTTTGGTGTGCCACAATGTACTCCAACACTGAAACATTCAATGTACTCAAACCAGCCACATGGAACGACGGAAACTGGTGGAGTTTGCCACATGGAGCACTCGCAAAAAGAGGAGCGGACCCGGCAGCCGGACGACGGGGGAAGTGATGCGAATGCTTCGGCCATTGTCTTTGCTTTTTTTGGGGGTTCGGCCAGTGGGAAAACGTGACTGTTTTTGATTCATTAACTATTATATATATATATAATATATATATATATAAGTTGAACGTTAAAAGTTGGATTAACTATAAGAACAAGAACTATAAAATATTTTTTCGTGCTGTTATTCGCATGTCCACCATGCGTTCTCGCTCCTTCTTCCCGGTGCACGCACGATGGCTTGACGTTGGACCCACTGGGTTCACCAACGTCTCTGAGGTGAAGTCTCTGCACCGGGCCCGACAGCGGCTGGGAACCTCAGGGCCGGGCAGATGGGCCGAGCAGGCGTAGTGAAGAAGGGCACGAACGGTTCGAAGATGAACAAGACACCCACCGAACGTTCCTTTAGGGGTTGGGAGGGTGTTTGGGAGCCCCAAACCCAAGCTGAGCAGCTGAGCGAGTTCGCCGTGTTCGCCAGCACCGGGGGTGTTCGGAGTGGACCAGTTCCTTTTGAAGGGTCAGCGGGTCATCCACTTGAAGGTTGCTAGGGTTTTGATCGCAAAACCCATCGAAGTAGGTCGAACTCCAAACACTCCAATTGGACATTGAGAGGTGTAAGCTGCATTCGTGATCTTGCTCCATCTTGCCTCCCACGAAAAGAACACCACAGGCCTAGACAAGACAAGGATGACTTGGGTGGTTCCGAGTCCAGGAAGTTCCTTGACTTGGGTGGTTCCAAAAATCGTCTTTGGACTTCTAGAGCCTAGACAAGAGTGAGTTCGACCAGTCGTGACCCACCAGGTTCATTCACCCGACCAGTCACACCAACTGACACCAACCGAAACGACACCAGGGCGGTGCACTGCGACCTCCAAGAGACCCTAAACAGCCAAAGGGTTCAACCGTGTGTTCCACCTTTCCGGACCCAAGGGAGACAGGACGGCCGTCAGATGTTGAGGTGTAACATATGGGGTGTGTGTTGTGATGGAGATCCCCAATCAATGGGTAGATGAAGACGGGTCGATGTTTCTTCTTTGGGGAGTTTGGAGCGGTTTTCCTATTTTAATACCCATACCAGGACCCTCCGACAGGTCACCAATTGAGACCTGTTAGGGTCCAACAACCCTCAACTAACAGCCTGTTGGAGGGTGCTGGTAGCAACCTGCAAACATGACGTGGACGAAATATAGGGAGACCTCCCAGACATTCCGACCCCCGATTGCACTACACTCCTAAAATCCGCGGTGCATTGACATGGGAGAATCTGTGAGACCAATGCAGTGGGAACTGCACAGCACGGCTTTACTCTGGTGAAAGAACTTGGGGACACGCTGAAACTTTCACATGAGCAACCACTTTTGTTCGGTATTTAAGTCTGCAATCTCGGCATACACCATTTGCTTGTCCAACACCAGTATTCGCTTGTGAACGAAATAGGCGCCCCACATGAATGAGATACCTTGGTTGATGACAACAATTTCTAGTAACATGCTACTAAAGTAGTCGCGCTGTCAGTTTTGCGCATTTGAGTTTAGTACCAAATCTATTCCGCCAGTCATGGAACCCCACAAAGTCCAGATTGAAGTAAAACCATCTAGTCCTGCCAGTCTTCAGCTTTCATGTGTCTTCTTTCCCACATCCAACTTCCCTTCCCACCAGGTCTGCGGACCGAGTCGGATCCGAGACCACCGGAGACCACCGAAGACCTAGGCAGCGACCACCGAAGCGGCCTCCACCGCCGCGCCGCGGGACCCAGCGCTGCGTCGCCGCGATGCGTCGCCGCGGAACTGAACGGTCGCTCTTCGTTCGGTCGGTGCGTCGCTGGTGAACGAGAGATGGGCTGACGGGTTCAGTGAACTCGTCGGAGGGATGCGAGTCGAGTCGAGTCCAGCGAGAACTTGGTGTCGGAAGGTAGTAGTTAGCCATTGATCGGAAGTGGTGGAGATATTCTTGGCAGTGGGATGTTTATTTGACCTTGTTAGAGGGGATTAGTTTCTGCTGGCAAAGGGAGATCTATACATGTTGACCGAACGACTTGGTATCTCACCAGAACTAAGAGGAGTACTGTGGATGTGCACTGACCCAGCAAAGTATATCTACCCTAAGGATCTGGACCCTCAAAAACCAGGGTACAAACCCCTGTTATAGAGGGTTCGACCCCTGCTATGGAGGCTCCAAGGATCCTTAGGGTATACGATTATACATCCTTCATGTTTGGTAGGTGGATGAAAGATTGGAACCAAGCCTTCCAGGCACTATACTATGTGGAAGTCCCTACTGGATGGGCCAGACCTGAACACCTGGGACCATGGCCGTCGGTGTTTCTCCCAGGCAGGCACCCGACCCTCCATTGCCGGAGGCTGGTGAAGGAGGCGGAGGGTCTCGGGGGGCGACCGGTCCCAGTGCGGAGCTTCGTGGTTTTTGGGCATCTAAGGGCTGCCTTTCATAGATCAGGAGATCACACATGAGCAAACAAGCAAAACAATCAAGTACAATTCTGTTTGGTTTTGTGGAATTCATTTTCGTTTTTTCATTATTTTCTGGCCATAAGAGTTGTCCCCAGTGCTAGCCCTCCCATTCCATCTCGCTCGTAGTTAACTCAGCCAGTCACACTTTCTCCGGGGCCCAACAGAGCGATGGTCCTTCACCGAAGCGAAGGACTTGAGTCGGAACCTGTCTTGGCTTCTTGATGCTTCTTGATGATCAAAGCCACCACTTCTACCCGAGGAGGTTCTGTAGATCTGGCTGACGAACCAGGGTATTCGGATGACGAACCAGGAGTTGCTCCAGATGAACAAAGAGCTTCACGTCACGTGACCGGGACCCGGGGAAGTCCTTGGAAGACCTCAAGTCCTCGAACAACGAGCCGAATAGACACGAACCATGGGACTGCGGTCGCACCCGTCAGCCACGTCCTCTCGAACCCGGTCAGCCACTTCAGCTGACCGCTGACCCCACACAGTGTTGGCCTGGTTGCATCGCAGCTGGTCGACCGACCAATGCGACTGCCGGGATCGAGTCACCCATGCGACCATTTGGGGAGTGTGTAGGAAGTGGAACTGGAGACACGGCGTGTGAGTGTGAACAGCTGGAGTAACAGCTGACGCGGAGTTCGGTGGATCTTAAGTTGAAATAGAGCAGTGAACGTGTTCATGATGTGGACCCCGGGTATGGACAAACTCTGCCTTCAGCAGGGCATCGACCAAGCGTGCCAGGCATCTCTTTCCTTGGCCGCTTACCTAGTGCCAATGGCTACATTGGAAATCCCACAGCGCCTTGTCTGCCGGGTTGTGGTGGGTTGCTGTAAGCATGCCAGATGAAGCAAATTTAATATATTACAATATAAGACACATTTTGTTGCTTTTTCAGCAATCTCCACATAGTGTGATGTTTCTATTAGGATTTGTTGGGAATTCTCTTTTGCAGCTCACCCGAGCCCGAAACGGGATGAACTTCTTGGTGGAACAGGATAGGAATACGAGGACCAATTCCGAGGAGACGAACTACTTTTGGGAGAAACTTTTGGGACCCCTCAAGGTCCTTTTGGAGACCTTTGTAAGATCTGACTGAGTTGGAGACCATGGTTGCATGTCGCATCCCAACTGGGCCAAGCACAAGAGGTTTTTCCATGAAGCAGTTCTTTGAATCTTTTCCAAAGCTCTACACTCCTTGAAAGAACCATATGGTTACCTGGATGGCATGGCCCCTGACCCTGACCAAAGAATTACATGTTCCTCATGGTTCCTCCAGGAACAGGGGGGGGAACAGTCACCCACACATCCGATGTCCGTTCGCCTCTTTCGATGATTCCTCGATGCCGGCGGCATCGAAAAGTCGGAGGGATCGGCACGAGGAGGGATCCACTTCAGTCAACAAGGCCCCCCCCGGGCCAGGGGGTGTCTAATAATGGTCCCTTATAAAGGTGATTCGGGGTGTCCATGAACCACCCCTGGCTCCGGGGGCCTCTTGGTAAACGGACGTGTCTTTCAATGTTGTCGTGTTCCACTGGTGCTTTCTTTCATGTTCTTTCTTCCCATGAAGCTAACATGCCGTTCCTTCTTTTTTGGACCAAGAGGTCTCGACCACCGGTGTTCCTTCACTGGTCTTCGTCCCAGGTCAATGCCCTGCCGGCAGCGATGCCGCCACCTCAGCGACTGCGCAGCGGCCGCGGCGGCGCCGAAGAGGGCAGGGCTTTCGGAAGGAATGAAGGGTCGAAACTGGAAGGACAACCCAAATCCTTGGAAAGAACCCTCTCCCGTTCTCTGAAACATCGCAGTACTCCATGATTTGCTTTAGAAAAAGGATGGATGTCGACAACAGATTTCGACATGTTCGTTTACATGCTCAATCATCTAGGTTTTTGACAAAAGATTTGGTTCGTGTAGAGCCTTTTGCGGACTTGTCTTCGGCCAACGGGAAACCTAGTCTTTCGGTTGTTTCCTGGAAACATCTGACTTCACGGAGGATGGTTGGCGTGTTCCGGTGTTCCCATGATTTCTTCGTCATCCCATGAAACCAGCTGCCAACCAAGCCAACCAGGAGACTCTTTCCCACGACGGGAATCTCTCTCTCTCTCTCTCTCTCTGGCGAGGTTGGATCATATCCGGCTCTACCGAAGGGTGCAGCTCAACTGGCAGGCGCGCGGAAGGAACAGGAACGCTTCGAAGTGGCGCTCGGTTGAGGGGGCAGAGGTGGGTGATGGTCATGCTGCCATGCTACTGAAATATGTAAACAAATTATTGGAGATCATCTGAGAAGGACCCCCCGTGGTAAAGGAGCAAATTGACTGACAACTGTACTATAATATACCGTATAGGAAAGACATGGAAAGACCATGGTAGCAGTCATAGGAACATTCTTCCTGATTAGTTGGAAACTCTCTCTTTCTCTTCCCAGGACAGTGTTTCTTTCACGCCCAAAGGTTTTAGACAAACCCGATCGGTCGATGGCATCCTATGGATGTTGAAGCTTTTGATGGGTGAGAACATGTTGATAGCTAAACGCTGCTCATGTTTCCAACATCGAGGCGATGAACTGATGTGAAGCTATAGTTCCATACAAGAACAAGCCATCCAACCATATCCAACCCCTGCGTTTCTTCCTATTTCTTCTATCTTGGCCATTCCAGCCTGATCCTCTCTCAACACCTTTAAACGCTGCCATTGTGGCGCCAGGCCTACGACGCCTACGCGCGGGTCAGCCTCTTTTGTGGCGCCAACTCCTTGTGCCTCGTCGCGGTTCCGGCCGCGGTTTTAGGCCGTCCGGCGCATCGCCCCAAGCGGCAGCCACTCAGTACGAAACGAAAGCCACTCGTGGAATGACGGAAGCTCTTCCGGAAGACGAAACTCAATACACAAGTGAAGTCTAGTCCAAACCCGCTTCCGGAAGACGTTTATGACTCATGACCACTTTGGATGTGTGTTTTTGTTGGTTACTTTTTCAGAATCCGTACGTCCACGGTTCGAAGTGGCGCCACGTACCAAAAAGATGATGGGAAGATCAACTAAATTCTAAATCCATTTCCCCCCCAAAGGATGGGTTCCAGAGGCTTCGAACATGAACGTTCCAAGGTTGTACAGCTGCCTCTATTGGGCCTTGGGCTCGTTCCTGGGCAGAGAGCTTTCGCTGCAAGCTTTCGCCCGGGTCGGACGGCTCTTTGGGGCCGGTGGATCTCTCTGATTCGGAGGTCAAAGAGGAAAAAGACATGGTCTTTAGAGGTCTTCTCTGGGAGTCAAAGACTATACAAAGATTGGTCTTTAGGTGAAAAGGAATGTCCTCTACTTCAGCCAGTCAAAGTATAGTCTTTGGACTTCTAGGGTCTTTGTTTGTTTCTATATTAGCAATGGCCTCCAACGTACTAGTGCCTCCAACCAAAGAGCGGATGGCCTCCAACAAAGAATGGTCTTTAGATGTCTTTAGGTGAAGGTGACAAAAGAATATCCTTTACTTCAGTCGGTCACAGTATCTATGTCGAAAAGGACTTCAGTCGGGTGATGTCCAACCGCCGCGCGTCTGGTCCGGGCGCCGGGCCGGCGAGCGGAAAAATGGTGGGAGCGGCGGATCTTTTTGTGTCAAAGACTCGTGGGAGTGGGGGTATGAATTGTAGGTGTTGACCGGTTTCCGGATAAGTATATGGCACGACTCCAGGATATCGCCGGACCTGTGTTTCAAGGATGAAAGGACAAGGACGTTGCGAAGCTTGATGGAATCGTTGGTGTACGGTTCAGGCAAGGATGACAGCTTCTCTCCCAAACAGATGCAGTTGATGATGCCCCATTGCTCAAGCGACACGTCAGCGTCGTTTGGATCCATAGAGACAAGTGGCACCACACTTTCTTTTGGGCTGATGAAATCGATGGTGCCACAGGCAGTTCAAAACAGGTCTTTCATGTTCCCACTCGATGGACCGTCGAAGGACGGCCCTCGGAACACCACAATTCACCACGGGAAGCTATGATCACTGATTATAGAGGCACCGTATACACTGAATATTTGCCTATGGAACTATGCCCTTGCCTATATACTTAGAGTGCCAACAAAAATTATCGCACCTTTTACTTCGTGCTCATTCACTAAAAACATCGTGCCAAACCTCTTATCGGCCTGGCGGCGCCTGGCGGCCAGGCCGTGAGGAGTCCAAACCTCTCAACGACCGGAACCGTCGCGAGGTTCCTCGGTGGACAACACGCGGGCGTGGCCGCCATCGCGGTGGCGCTGGTCTTCGCCACCATCCAGGTGGGGAGGTTCCCAGCGAGGAAAACCCGGGGTTGGCCGAAACAAGCGCGGAAAAGTGGAGAAATGGTGGCAAAACCTGGCTTGAGGGTTTTAAATGGTTTTAAGCCTTCTCACGGATACTTGATATTTTCATGAGCATTTGATGATTTCATGGTTGAGAGACCGGCAATGGGAAATGTTTCCTTTATTTATAGATATTTTTCCAGGCGACTGATGGTCTATGCCGGTGTGGCCTTGTTCGCGAGTTTGCGAATGCAGGAGGATCCACGAGGTGGAATGTTTTCCAAAGAGACCCAGCTCTTTTTTTGAAAGCTCTCGACTTGGTGTGGAAACCAGCACACGAGGATATTGGGTGATGGCCCGAAGACAATACATGAGCTCTGCACATGATGAAAACCAAGCTGTTGGTCTCCTGAAAACATCTGAAAACACCTGCCACGTGCATCATCTTGGTCTCCATCTAACGTTTTGGATCGTTTTTTTGCCCTTTGGTTTCTCTTGGTCTATTTCTTTTGCCATTTGGTTTCATTTTGATTCACGTAAGAGATGCCACGTGCCACGTGCCGTCTCTTCCCATGTTCTCCGTTTGACGTCGCCGTCCAACGTCGACCGGTTCGGCGGTTCTGCGGAACGGTCGGCGCGGTTGACTTGGTCGACCGCAGGTGATGCTCACCAAGTTAGATCTGCGCTTGAGGCGCTGAGCGAGATTTTGTGCACCGAAGTGCGCAGGGCAGGACATGAGCGGGATGGGATGCGGAGTATGATTGTTGGAAAGGTTATATGACTGGGTTGGATGACTATATGAGCAAGTGGGTGTGCATTGAAGATCGGGAGACCAGCAAAACAGACCAGTTTCGGGTCTCGCTCTTCCCATGTCCGCAAACGGGTCCACGGCCGCACGTGTCGACGGGGACGCAACGGGAAGAGGGATTTGACAAACAGCTCGAAATGTGTGGCCAGAACTCTTGGCCACTCTCCCAGTTCAGAGGCCAATGATGCAATTCATTGGCGCCATCCCACTCTCAAAAAGAAGCCGCTCACCCTCAGTTGGTCAACCAAAATAGTATCGACCTGTTGCCCCATGTTTCTCGCACCTCGCGCAGGGCCTGGCACTTGCGGCGCATTGCCTTGCTCCTCTTCTCCACTCCGGTGACGACCACCATTGGTGAGCCGACCGACCGACCGACGTCGGACGGGTTCCCTCCGGAGTGGGGATGCCGACCACGGGTCGGTCGGCTTCGCTGGGACGCCTCATCCAAGAGGTATACCCTGCGATACCCTGTTCCCGATTGAGGAGAAGAGGCTCAGCCATTAGAAACACATGCATGGTGAATTCTGCTGGAAATGGAGTGCTATGTTTGGTTTTTTTGGCAGACCTCTTAAAGTGGTTGACAGACCTCCCTTTTCGGTGATGTGAACGGGTGACACTCCGGGTGACAGACCTGTTTGCATGCCCTGACTATAAAGGAACTGGTTGTTCCACTCTTATGTACAGTAGTCTTTTCCGGCTTTGAACCAAAAACATTCTTGAGACAGGACTCCAACTTGAAGAACTTGGGTGAAGCTCCACTGGAAGAATATCTATAATGTCCACCGCAGAGGAAGAATAGACCACCATGACCATAAGTCTTTTGTGGGCGGGCGGACTTCTTCACAGTCGGACTTCTACACCCGGTCGTACACAGTCGGGGTTGGTCGAAAGCTGCTGTGCACATGGGTTCACAGCCAGGCCATGTACGGTACAGTCGGTACGGTCGCTACGGTGAAACGGTCTCTCCTATCACACACCGACCTCGACGGGACGGTGGCACCGAGTGAAGGTTCCCCCAAAAAGGCACCGAGTGAATGTCCATGACCACGTCGATGTTCCGTTCGCTGAACAAGGAACGTCCTTCCGTTCGCTGTTCTTTTCTGTTTTGCGGCGAATGGACACTTCCCGAACTATGCCAGTCCAAATGCTGAAGCCTATAGGCAGAAGCCAGGGGCCTTGCACAATGATGGAATGATGGGGCCTCATGTCCCCCTAAAGGCATCTTTTTTTGGGGGTCGGTTTTGGGGGGGCTCATTTTGGATGATGCTGGGAGTGTATCCAGATGTGACTCCCAGCATTTTGAAGGTCAATTCCCCCGAAACTCAGAGGTGACTCGCTGGATCCATCCATCCACATGTTTTTTTCTCTTCGGGATGGGTCCAGTTTCCCGTCAGAAACTCAGTCGCACAGAGAGCAACGCAGCTCTTGAGTCTGGTCTTTGCCAAAAGTGCTCACAGGCTGATTGAATCAAAGTGGGAGAGCCTGTGAGCACGGGGGGAGGGTACAACTCTGGCCGGCCTGCAGCGTGTGGCTTTGGTCCGCGACAAGGAGCCGCTGATACGAACGCAACTGTAGCTGCTGTAGCTGTCGCTTCCTGACATGCTGATGAACCAGTGAGACATAGTGAGACTGAATACATCATGCACATCATGACGTAACGACTCACACAATAAGCACTGAAGAGTTGGTCTCTCAGAATTCACTCACATCGACAAGAGATGACATTCCATTTCATGCCAAGTCACCTCGAAAAACTCATCTGCCTTTGGGATTGGACGTTAGCTACTCAGCCGGGGCCGGATTTATCTCCACCCACCACTCTGCACCACCCTGCGCGCGAGTTTCGCGGCTGCCATGGGTTTCCACTCGGTGGTGGAGGAACTCCGTGCGCTTCTGTTTCCAGCGCCAGGCAGGCAGATGAATGTCCGTTTGTTTCTTGTGGCATTCGTTTTTTGGGGGGTGGTGGTGGAGCCATAGCTTTTGGACAAGAACATTTTCCAGAGGAACCCTCAAATCATTCGATCAATTGCATCCAAAAAAACGAATTCCCTGTGAAACATGTAGTATATAGAACTGCATTTCTATCTCATTGCGACTCACTCAGCTTGATCATGACCTCAGCAACTGACTGAGCACAAGAACTTCATCATATCAGATTGGAAAATCGGCTCCTCCGTCTGAAGCTGTTCCTTTTCACCCTCAGTCTGAAGCACCGGTTCAGCGCCAATTCGCCGCGCCGCGCCTGCGGCGGCGCGGGCGCGCCAACGTGTTCCTTCCGAGGTAAAGCTGCGAACGCCAGTCCCGGAGCCCTGATCGACCGGGCATCCGATTCGACCGGAGACAGAAGGACATGTATTGACGCTGTTGAGAGAGAGAGAGAGAGACACATGCACATACACGCACGCACGCACGCACGCACGCATGCACACCAATGAACATTTCCCAACAGTCTCCCTCCAGTTTGTATATTTTTTTGGAGGTTGATTTTCAGGAGAAACGAACGGACTGACCTGTGAATGACTTCCACATGCGCCTAACATTCACTCCATTGCTGACGTTCATGGACAGTGGAAACCGGCCTTTTTTTGAGTTTGTTTGCTGCTCAAACGCTTGGCTTTTGGTATTTTGAACATGCAAGCGCACATGGAAGAAACAGGAATTTGGAGGACGGAGACCACAGGCAGATGGAACACCACACGGAAACAAGCAGACATTTGTGGCTGGGTCGGCCCCACTGAGTCTGTGGTTTCAGAGTAGATGGGACAAACCCCTACATATCCTGTCGATGGGGTTGATATAAACCACCTCTTGGGGGCCCTTGTGCTACTCTGAACCCACTGTATATGGTTTGGGTCAGCCCCCCTTTCAGTTGGTGAATGGGTTCAGAGAGTCCAGGAGCTTAGTCGCCAGAGAGGACTCCTGTCCACCGAGTAGACCATGTCGGTCGCCCCAAAACCATCAATAGATCACATGACGCCACCGAAAAGCTGTGAGTTGGCACCGAGTTCTTTCTTTTCTTGGTTGAAAGGTCTTTCGGGTCTACTGACTGGTGGGACGAAAGTGGGGCGGCTGAGGGTGGCTGGAGCCAGTTGGGCATCTCGATTTCGGAGCGAAACTTCCCCTATTGCCTATTCATGCCTACTATTCCCTACGCGTCGCGGTTCAGTCAGTTGATGGGTCCAGACGAGGTCCTCTGCTGGAGGAAGTGGAGGATGCCAGCCCAGGCGAGGGAGAGAGGACCCCAAAACGACGGGTCTCGGGTTGGGCGACTGGGTGGGGGTTTCGTGCCGTTGGATCGTTGAGGTTCTTCAAGCAGTTTCGTTCCGTGGATGGGAATGAAATGGTTGATTTACATGAAAGAACCGAGAACCGTCACGGGTTGCTACAGCTTTCAATGAAATGAGATGAATCACATTCCATGGAAACATACGCATTTTTGCCGTGTCTCCACGAGTTCTTGGGGCGACACTCACGGCTCTACCACGGCAGTGGTTGAACCGAGAAAAAGCTGCGATGCGCAGACGCCCGGTGAACCTGGGCTACAAGAGATCTTCTTTGGCATCAAGCACCCTTGATAGAATACAAGCCACGATGGCGCTCCTGAATATCAGATGGCCAAAGGAAGCCTTGAGCAGGTGGTGAATCCTAAGCCGTTTACCACGTCCCGAGAGAGAAGAAACCGTCCCAAGGATGCCATCTTTGCCGAGTTTGCCTGGATCTTTCCGCGACGGCATGACCATGTGGAAGAAAAAGAAACACATATTGAAGTCAACAAACCCATGTGGGATATCTTCCACGAGATGGGTGTACCATATCTCACCAAACAAGGGTCATCTCAAGGGCCTCAGGAGACGGAAAAAGGATCCCTCAAGAGACGCACATGACTGAGGCTTGAAGCATCGGAGAACCTTCTCCGGTCAATCTGTGCCGGTCTTCGCCTGGATAGCCAGTGGATAGCCAGTGCATAGCCATGGACCACCTGCAAACATGGAGTTCTTTCGGTTTACACTTTCGGTTCACCTGATAAAACATGGAAGTTGCAGGATTCCTCAGTTCCGCCATCTAAGGTAATTATATACGTACACTCCCTGACATCATCATGAACGTGGAAAGCCACGAGAATGGCCATCCGAATTTGGGGCCATGCCATCCACGTCAGCATGATTCCAGGGAGTTGCCCTCGGAGAGAAACGCCCACCGAACTTCTGGGTGGGGAAGCCTCCTAGACATTTGGATGCTTTTGGACAGACATTTGGAGGGACTTCCTCTTCATGGCTTTTCTCTGCCTTTTTGGTGAGAATGAATAAATGCGAACCTTCGACTGCCGACCTGACTCAGTTCAAGAACCGGTTCCTCGAACCTTCGGCTCAGCCAATCCAAAGCCAAGAAAGTCCTGTCCCAGCTGGACGCCTCCAGGCCGTACGACCACGGTGGCCAGGCTGAGACGGATGACGGACGGACGAGATGCCATGAGCCATGGGTCCACACTTTTCAGTTGGTGGTCTTTGCTTCCAACTGAAAAGTGTGGACCCATGGAATGATGGTCTTGGAATGGGTCTTGGAATGGTGGTCTTCACTTATCATTCCAATATCTACCAGGGTCTTTTGGCAAAGACATAGGCGCCATCGGCTCCAAACGTGTAGGAAAGCTTGGGCGAACACATCTTATGGAGGTGGCCCAGGCATCCCACAATCATCGTGGACCACTCAACAGACCGCGATCGTCGATCACCGTGCGCCGGCGATCACCGTTGCATCTGATCACCATCCTGCGTTGGAGCATTTACATCGAATCCCTATGTTGGGTTGACTCAATTTTGCTTGAAGTCCTGCCTCACATCTGAAGAGCTTTCTGATCGAATCCCTATGCTGAGTATGTCCCCGGGTTCCGATCACTGTACATTGCTTCCATCACGAGCAAAATGTTCGACTCCCCCCCCACAGTTGAAACCCGTCCTCCAAAGGGAGAACATGCCCACTATTGCCCACTTGTTGTTTTTACATCGAGTACTGTATCAATTCCTTGGGATCTTCAAGCCTGTGCAAGAACACAACTAGAAACTAGAAATTAAGGACATCTTAATACCATCATAATATGTCCATGCTGATTCAATAGGTTGAACATCCCTAGCCTCAACAAGGATACACCATACTACTCATTACAGTTACATGTCGTTGCTTTCGGCCAGTCGTTGGTCGCCGTTTCCCCAGCCCCCGCCCAGACCATCACTCCTGCCGTCCGCCAGTTGCTCCGATGACGGCCATGAACTGAGCGTCCAGGAGGACGGCGCAACCGTCGTCCGCGCGCGCGAACGCGGCAGAGGACGCAGCGGACGACGCAACGCACGCGATGA